TATATCAAATGTAAGTATTATTATTATTATTATTCCCTGCACCACCGCCCTCTGGCTTCTATCGGTGAGCCAATTACGTATCCATTGTAAGATATTTCCTTCCCACTTTCTTTATTTTCGGTAACAGCCTTTCATGAGGAACTGTATCAAAAGCCTTTCCGAAATTCAGATATTCAGCATCCACTGCCTAAGTCAGCAGAAAAAAATGATTCAAGGATATTCAAAATCAGAGAATGTTTTTAAAAAAGTATTGTTTGAAGATAATATTACAGATTTTAATTTTGGGGCGAGGGTGAGAACATGAGACTCTTATTATTTCCTCTCCCAGCTGAAGGACAAGAGGACACAAATATACAGTGTGGGTGTGATGAGAACCATTTTAGAATGTACACAGTGAAGTATTTTGTTACACAAATGGTTGACTCATGTTGGACTGTTAAGAAACAGCTTGATCGCGCATTGGGAAGATGGTCAGATGGGTATTCCAGAAGGATGAGATCAAACAGGCCAAAGAACCATTGGAGTCCTGTAGCTTGCTGGTTAGAGCACTTGCCTCGCAAGCGAGAGGACCTGGGTTTGATTCCTGGGCAGGGCGAAACATTACGCAAGTTTCCTTACTCCACACACCTCTTTACCAACAGAAAGTAGGAACCTGGTTGTTAGTCAATTGGCAGATCGCTTTTCCAGGGTTAATAATTCCTTAAAAAAATTAATCCACAACTGGTCACTCAATCCATGATTGTTTGTCAGACGCTGCTGCTGCGTTTCGTCCACAAAATAGACAATCACTACACTTTACAGTTTATTCTATGAAGTTTCTCCTCACCTCCCCTGTGTTTCTTTTTAACAACTATTTTAAATCAGTGTCCTCAGGTTACTGATCCACCCAGCATTGGAAATATTGGAAATAGTTTCTCCTTGTTCACCCTATCGAATCCCCTCATAATTTTGATAAGTTTTATTAACCTTCTTAACCTTCTCTGCTCTGAGGAGAATCAGCTTCTCTAGCCTCTCCTGATAACTGAAGTTTCTGATATCTGTGTATACACGCGACCATCCTTAAGAGTATCAACCAGACTGAGAGGGCCACATTATACATACTGCCTACCCATCCCCTCATTAAATGACACAAGTGGCTCCCACATAAGCAGCCAACTCACTCAATGTCTTTATTGTTACTTCACTTTTCACATATATTGGGCCTAGACTCACTGTCCAGCTAGCATTTTTGTACATGTTTTCAAACAGTTTGTTTTCAAACAGCTTCTCTCATCACACAAAAGTATCTGTTCACTTGGACAAGTACCACTTTGCTTCTGTCCTCTAAGCTCTTAAAAATAACGTGCAAACTATGGAGTTACTCAATGTGGCCCTGCATTTTAGTCCACAAAAATTTTTCTTGTTGGCACGTTCATCTGACCCTGTGATAAACCGCAATGCTGATCTGTAATGGGAATCTCACTGTCAAGACTTGCCCATGAATAAGAGAGTGGGATGCAATCTATTACAGGCACACTTCAGATCATGAAAAGCATATCTCCATGGGTAACAATGGTACCTACAGCTTTGGAAAATTTGCAGTGAGAACCTTACAGATTTTCCATTCACATTATCTTTTGATGAATTATTATGTTGTGTATTGTAAACAAGGCTCATTCTGTTTTCCATTTACCTGAGAGGATGATTATTGTAAATCCCAGAATCAATCTTGTTGATCTTTTCTGGCACCCTCTCCAATGCTTCAATATCCTTGACAGCAGAATGTACTCAACTGCACAAAATCGTCCAAATGTGACCTCATCAATGACCTCATCAAGGTTAAAATTGTTGACTTCCAGTCAAATTTCGTCAAGACACACCAATTTACATTTATATAGCACCTTTGATATGAGGATGTCTCATTGTGCTTCATTTAGCCTTTAGCCTGGGTGTGGGGGGAGGGCAACTGAGGAGAAGAGGGGAAAGGAAAGGTGGCCAAAAGTGCAATCAATGAGATAGGTTTTAAGTTGTGTTTTAGGGGTAGGAAGGGAGGGGGAAAAAGGTGAACGGAGTTTCAGAGAGCAAGGACAGAATAGCCAAAAGCTTGCCCAGTGGGATGGTGGAGTGAACAGAAACATGAAACAGGCTGGTGTTTAGACCCTTCTCAAGACCCTCCTCTTTGACTGTGCTTTTGATCACCCTGCTTCCCCCTCTGCCCTCCACCCTCCCCAATCCTGAACCCCAGCTCGGGTCCGAAACTCTGACTGTCCACCGCCTTGGACGTCCTCCCGACGTGAAAGGCGCTGTACAAATGTAATTTTGTTATTGTTTGATGAGTGGAGGGAACAACCAGTTCAATAAAGTAGCAGGAAGTTGATACCTAATATTTGGTTGGTTTTATAGTAGTTTCCAATTATCTAGAAGCCTTTGATGAAAAATCAATAAGCACATGCAAATCCTTTTCCACTTCTGCCATCCATTATTTTTATTGTTTGTTGTTACAAATGGTAACCTTATCATAATATTATTGTTAACTTCTGTTCGAAAATTTCTAAATATTCCAAGGAGTCTAGAATAATATTTACAATTAACCTTTATAATTATTTATCATTATAAATAAATGATCAGAAATGATATTGAAATAAATAATAAACTGTTACAGTGAATAATAAACTAAACTTAATAATAATCCTTGCATTTGATATAGCGCTTTTCACGTCGGGAGGACGTCCCAAAGTGCTTCACAGAACACACTGTAAAGTGAATTGACTATATTTGTGGGCGAACGGGGCAGCCAATTGCGCACAGCAATGTCCCACAAACAGTCATGGATTGAAAATGACCAATTTATTATTGTTTTGTTTTTTTGGAGGGATTATTATTAGGCTCTGTGTGGAGTAAAGAAACTTGCCCAAGGTTTCGCCCTCTGCCTGGAATTGAACCCAAGTCTCTCGCTTGCAAAGCGAGTGCTCTAACCACTGAGCTACAGGACTCCACAACTCACAAACCACAATCAATGTTATTGAAGTTGTTTCTGCCTGCCTACATTCGATCATTAGATTATGGAATCTTGTACTTTAGTGGTTAGAGGACTCGCCTCGCAAGCGAGAGGACCTGCATTCGATTCCATCAGGGCAAAACGTTGGGCAAGTTTCCTTACTCCACATGCCTCGTTTACCCAGCAGTGAGTAGGAAGCCGGTTGTTAAGTCGATTAGCGGATTCGCTTTTCTAGGGGTAATAACCCCTTCAAAAAATAAAAATAATAATTTGGTCACTGCTGTGCACAATTGGCTGCTGTGTTTTGCCCTCAAAATAGTCAATTAGTGAATTATGTGAGGCCCTTTGGGACACCTCGAAGACCCTGCTAATAATAATAATAATAATCCTTGCATTCGATATAGTGCCTTTTCACGTCTTTCAGATGTCTCAAAGCGCTTCACAGAACATACTGTATAGTGGCTGTGTGTTTTGTGGGCGAAGTGCAGCGACCAATTGCATTCAGCAGCGTCGCACAATCAGTCGTGGGTTGAAGTGACCGCATTATTATTTAAATTTAAAACATATATTAAGGACCAGCCGCTGTATGAAGTGTGAGGCCGATCCGCTGCTCCTCCTTCACTGTTTCAGTCTGTGCCCAGCAAGACCTCCCGCGCAGGTGCACTCTGCTCGGACAGCTGCACTCGCGCTTGTTAGGTGGCGGCGGCTCGATGTGCTACTTTCCCACCCGCCATCCTGCCCATCCCCCGCGGCCCGGCCCCCCCTGCAGACCGCCACCCCCCCGGCCCCGCCCTGCAGACCGCCACCCCTCCGGCCCACCCTGTAGCCTGCCATCCCCTCCCGGCCCAGGCCCGCCCTGCAGCCCGCCAACCCCCTCGGCCCCGTCCTGCAGCCCGCCACCACCCGGCCCCGCCCTGCAGCCCACCACCCCCCGGCCCCGGCCTGCAGGCCGCCACCACCACCCGGCCCAGGCCCAGCCTGCAGCTCGCCAACCCCCTCGGCCCTGCTCTGCAGACCACCACTCCCCTCGGCCCCGCCCTGCAGCCCCCCCCAGGCCCGCCCTGCAGCCCCCCACACCACCCCCAAGGCCCCGCCCTGCAGCCCGCCACCCCCCCAGCTCTGCAGCCCCCCCAGCCCCGCCCTGCAGCCCCCCCGGCCCCGCCCTGCAGACCGCCACCCCCCCCGGCCCACCCTGTAGCCTGCCACCCCCCCGGCCCAGGCCCGCCCTGTAGCCCGCCAAACCCTGGCCCCGCCCTGCAGGCCGCCACCCCCTCGGCCCCGCCCTGCAGCCCGCCACCACCCGGCCCCGCCCTGCAGCCCGCCACCCCCGCCCTGCAGCCCCCCAGGCCCACCCTGCAGCCCCCAGGCCCGCCCTGCAGCCCCGCCCTGCAGCCCCACCCAGCAGCCCGCCCTGCAGCCCCCCCACAGCCCCGCCCTGCAGCCCCCCGCAGCCCCGCCCTGCAGCCCCCCCCCCAGCCCTGCAGCCCCCCCAGCCCTGCAGCCCCCCCCAGCCCCGCCCTGCAGCCCCCCCCCAGCCCCGCCCTGCAGCCCCCCCCAGCCCTGCAGCCCCGTCCTGCAGCCCCCCCCAGCCCTGCAGCCCCCCCAGCCCCGCCCTGCAGCCCCCCCAGCCCTGCAGCCCCCCAACCCTGCCCTGCAGCCCCCCCAGCCCCGCCCTGCAGCCCCCCCCAGCCCTGACCTGCAGCCCCCCCAGCCCCCAGACCTGCAAGCCCCCCCCAGCCCTGCAGCCCCCCCCAGCCCCGCCCTGCAGCCCCCCCCACCCCGCCCTGCAGCCCCCCCCCCCCCGCCCTGCAGCCCCCCCCCCGCCCTGCAGCCCCCCCCGCCCTGCAGCCCCCCCCCGCCCTGCAGCCCCCCCCCCCCAGCCCTGCAGCCCCCCCCCCAGCCCTGCCCCCCCCCCCCCCCCCCCCCAGCCCTGCAGCCCCCCCCCCCAGCCCCCCCCCCCCCCCCCCCCAGCCCTGCAGCCCCCCCCCCAGCACCTGCAGCCCCCCCCCAGCCCTGCAGCCCCCCCCCCAGCCCTGCAGCCCCCCCCCCCAGCCCTGCAGCCCCCCCCCCCAGCCCTGCAGCCCCCCCCCCCAGCCCTGCAGCCCCCCCCCAGCCCTGCAGCCCCCCCCCAGCCCTGCAGCCCCCCCCCAGCCCTGCAGCCCCCCCCCCCAGCCCTGCAGCCCCCCCCAGCCCTGCAGCCCCCCCCCCCAGCCCTGCAGCCCCCCCCCCCCAGCCCTGCAGCCCCCCCCCCCAGCCCTGCAGCCCCCCCCCCAGCCCTGCAGCCCCCCCCCCCCAGCCCTGCAGCCCCCCCCCCAGCCCTGCAGCCCCCCCCCCCCAGCCCTGCAGCCCCCCCCCCAGCCCTGCAGCCCCCCCCCCAGCCCTGCAGCCCCCCCCCAGCCCTGCAGCCCCCCCCCAGCCCCGCCCGCTGCGGCGGGTGTTGTTTGGAAACAAAATACCGATTGTAGCCGTTAGTCAGTGAGGGAGTGAAACCTCCGCTTCAGCCTCAATCAGACCCCCCCCCCCCCCCCCGGCGCTGTGCGGCGCTGCGCGGCGCTGCTTAAATCCTTTCCACCAGCATTTCTGCCCCACCCACTGCCCCACCCCCGCATCACAGCGCCCCCCCAATCCCCCCACAGTATCCCTGTACCCCACACAGTATCGTGTATCCCCCTCTATCCCCATATCCCTCCCCTCCAATTTCCCTGTACCCCCCCAGTATCTCTCCCCCGCGCCCCCGGTTTGCTCCGCTCGACGCTGGCGTCGCCTCCTCGCACTGTGTCCTCCTAATCCCGCACTCACGCACAGTCCCACCCACCGCCGGGGTCCGCCCGTCAGTCAGTCAGTCAGTCAGTCCGCCCGTTGGGAGTGGCCGCCATGTTTTATTTGAGCGCGGCGGCCGGTGGAGTGGGGCAGAAGGAGAAGAGAGTGTGTGAGAGAAAGAGTGAGTGAGAGAAAGCATTAATAAACAACCAACTACAGGGACCCCCCCTCTCCCCCCGGGCACCGACACCAGCCGCTCCCCAGCACCTCCCCCCCAGCAACACACACACACACACACACACAGAGGATTCCATGAAGGCGAGAGAGAGAGAGAGAGGAAAACACAGCGTCCTGTGAAGGAGAGAACAAAATCTGGGAACCATGATTTTTATTGAATGAAACAAAGTCGACGCGGCTTTCCTGAGGAGAGGTTTTTTTCCTCTCTTCGCCCCTTTTTTTTCTTCCCATCATCTTTACTATTGTTGTGTTTCCCCCCAATGAGAAAATGCAAGTTGTTGCGGTGTAACTGAGGAAACAGGAGATAGAGAGAGAGAGGAGAAGAGGAAGAAAGGCCGAAAAATGCCTTTGCGCTCAATTTGGATGCCTTTCATCGGATTATATTCTCTTACGACGTGGACAAAAATATCCATTTATTGAAAGAAAACCTGCACTTTTTAAAAACCCCTCCTCCCTCGGCTGGTATTTTTAATTTAATTTTTTTTACGCTTTTCCTTTCCCGTCGCATTTTTTTTCAAAAAAGAAGACTATATATTTAAAACCAACAAAAAAACCTTCAAAATTCGTCGGTTTAGGAATCGTCCATAAAACGCCAAGATGTCTGCAGAAGTGCGTTTGAAGAAACTGGAAAAGCTGATTCTGGACGGTCCTCGGAAAAATGGTCAGGCGGTGAGTGTGGAGACCCTACTGGACATCCTCATCTGCCTGTACGATGAATGTAGCAGCTCTCCTATCAGGAGGGAGAAAAACATCACAGAGTTTTTAGAGTGGGGTGAGTCTCTCTCTATATATACAATAAGGTTACATTTGTATAGCGTCTTTCACGTCGGGAGGACGTCCCAAGGCGCTGATATATATATATATATGTGTGTATATATATGTGTGTGTTTTCCTCCTCGATATGCATTTAAAAATTCTCACTTCCACATTTTATTTTTTCCAGTCAAGCTTTGCTTCATGCACCACTGTTTTGTTGCTTTCCAAGCAATTAACCCGGCGATGATAAATCAGTTCATTCAATCTAGAGTTTAGATGTTTGGCCCTTTTTGTGTAGAGCCATTTTTAAAAATATATATTTTTCCCCACCCTAATAGCTAATGTGCTTTACCCTGGGTTACCAAGCAGTGTTAGAAATGAACCAAAATTCCGAACATTGCAAATAAAAATTGAGCAATCATGAAGTCCTTTTCTTCCTTTCTCCCTTTTCGCAGCAGGCCTGCTTACTGTGTGCTCAGATTGTAGCCCTTCTATTTGCTGTACTCTTGTTTTAAAATTCCTAGTACAGAGTGTGTTTTACGAGGATTGGGTCAGTGTGGTTGCTGTGCTCCAGTTAGTCCATTTAAAAAGTATAAATATGTATAGAATGAGTGACTGCAGATTTTTTTTGAAAAAAATCGGATTGCATGGGAATATTGGTTTAATTGATTGATTTCATGTATTTTATTTTGAACACAGATTGTAACTGGAAAGAGGTTGTTTTCCTCTCCCTGCAATAGTAATAATAACGATTTCTTGATTTTGTAATAGGATTAGATTCTTGACGTCTGTTACACAACATAAGATATTCTTGCAGTCTCTTCCTGGAATGCTGCGATTGTGTGCTGTGGTTTCTAATCGTATGGCAATCAAGGGTTAAAATCATTTTTATGCAAGCAAGAACTATTGTAATAATAATAAACCTTCATAATAATCCTTGTATTTGATATAGCGCTTTTTACACCTTCTAGACGTCTCAAAATGCTTCACAGAATATTATAGTTTGTAAAGTGTGGTCTTTATGATTTTTCTTCACAAATAAGATTTTAAAAACTTGTTCAAAATGGTACTGATAAGATTAGCCTATAATGCAGTGAATTCATGTTGGAGCTTAGATTTTTCTTTGGTTTGATGTCCTGCAACCTTTGGGGAGTTGACGAAACCATGTGTTTAAATTTATGTCCTGTTTGCATTTTCGTTTAGATTATAATGTTGTGCAACTCTGTTCCTTTACTTTTCATATCTATTAATTGTCCAGGCGATTAATGAAAATTTGATTGATCCAGATGTTTGTGTAGTATCGTTTGAATGATCTGAAACTTCTAGCTTTGTATTTTAACTTTGTATTTGTGTCTATAATCTATCAAAAGGTAATGAAGCCATGGTGCATACATTTATTGTATTTTAACACATCTGGGTATCTCTTGGGAAGTGTGAGCACACCGATTTGTCACTGTGTGCAATACAGCGGTCACGAATGCTGTCTGTTACTGGTTGGTAATTTGGGAGGCAACTAGTTATTTGATGTAATTGTTTATAACATTTTTGAAATGCTTTGTATTCTGTAATGTGAAGTCGGGAAAAAAATGCCAGTGCCACAAATCATATAAGGATAGCTTATTCTTGGCAAAAATAAAAAAAACTGCTTCTCCCCTCATGACCACCACTTGTGTATAATATTGAATTTAAAGTATCAAGCATATACTTCATCAAAATATAGTTGGGATTGATGCCCTATCTCCATCACATTTACATTGTGTTCTGTGAAGCGCTTTTGGACGTTCTCCCGACGTGAAAAGCGCTATATCAAATGCAAGGATTATTATTATTATCTGTTTGCCTTTTCAATCACTCATTCATGATGCTACTTCAGTTGAATCAGCTATACAATATTCATTGGGTGGAAGATTGGCTCTGTGTACTAAATGGACTCCCAATATTGCTATGAACTGGTGGCTGACTTTTTACTGGGAAACAGTATTATGTGCCTGAGCACCATCATTATACATTTATCGTAACATGTTTCTGGTGCAATATGAAGAATTGTGTTTTAGAAGTAGGTCACATTTTAAATAATGAATAAATGCAGTATGTCTTGCTTGCCTTTTGGGCGCATTACTTTGTCATCGGTATTAGATGTAAAATAGCTTATACGAAGGCTAGCTGGGATAATGCACAAGCATCTGGTGTCATGCTGGAGCTATTTCAGTCTATCTACTTTGCTGTCAAAATGCGTGAAACTGTTTATTGTGTCAAATAAATACATTTTATCCAAATTTGAAATTATTGTATATAGAGTTTTCTTTCAATTATTGGCTGCTCAGTTATTAAAGACATTTGTGGTAAAATTAAGCTGTAAAATTTAGTTTAATAACTGGTGTGTGATGGGTTGTCTGATATTAGCAATTTAGGATTTGGCCTCCTATCTTTGGCTATGAAGGGAAACGTATCAACTATGGTTCATCCTGATTAATGCACATTATCTTGTGCTGGAAAATATATGTGTGGACTAGATCTGACTCAGTGGTGGTCTATATGGTTGGATTACCTGCCAACACTCAAATATTCAGGTTCATATAATAAAAACTACTGGGCCAGATATGTATATCGTAAAGTTGAATGTAGGAAGATTGCGCAGCAGTGAGCAGTGGAGTGCAAGATGGTGCACGAGTGGGATCTTAATTGTTTTAAAGGACAGCTTAACCTTAATAATAATCTTCGCTATTGGTATAGTGCCTTACCACGTCGGAAGGGCATCTTAAAGCGTTTCACAGGGTTTTTCTGTGAAATGGAGTGACTGTATTTGTAGGCAGCACAATTGCACACAGTAAAGTCCCACAAACAGCCATGGAGTAAATGACCAATTATATAAGGGTGATTGTTTGCCAGAATACCGGGAGAAACTCTTTTCTACTGGATTACTCCAGTCAACGTCTTCAATCACACGGTTGTCACCTCCTCCACCTACCGCTAAAACGTCCTGAACCCGTACGTAACCTGGGCGTCAGGTTCGACCCCCAGTTGTCCTTCCTTCCCCACATCCAGTCCCTCACTGGCGCTGCTTTCTTTCACCTCCAATGCATCGCCCGTCTCCCCCAATATTTCACCCCAAAAGCCACCGAAACCCTGGTCCATGCCTTTGTCACCTCTCTGCTGGACTATTCAAATGCCCTCCTCGCTGGTCTCCCCTCCACTACCATTCATAAAATCCAGGTGATCCAGAATTCTGCCGCCTGCATTCTTACCAGCACCAAACTCCGCTCCCCAATTACCCCAGTCCTGGCCAGTCTGCACTGGCTGCCTGTCCCAGAGAGGATCGATCTCAAGATCTTCACTCTTTCTTTTCACATCCCTCCACTGCTCTGCACCCTCCTACCTCTCTGGCCTCCTTTCTCCTCAGCCCGTTGCTTTCACTCCACCGGGTCTGGCTTCCTTCTTGTCCCCCGAATCCTCTGCTTCACCATCGGGCGGCCATACCTTCAGCCACTACCCCTCGAGGCTCTGGAACTCCCTTCCTCACTCCCTTCACCTCGCCCCCTCTCTTCCTACTTTCAGGTCTCGGCTAAAGACTTTTCTTTTCGACCACGCCTTTGGTCACCTTCTTTCCCCTCCCCCTGGCTCAGCCCCGGGATCCATTATTGTGAAGCTCTGAGACGCCATCCGGTGTAGAGGGCGCTATGTAAATCCAAGTTGTTGTTGTTGTTGCTGGTGGTAAACATCTACCTGAACAGACAGGAGGGACCCCGGTTTAGTGTCTCATCGAAAAGATGTAGGTTAACATAACTTTAACCTTAACTGTACGTTGGGTGATAGAAGCACTACTGGCCATTTATAACTTATTTTAGTAGGTCCAGCTGAAATCTGATGCTAGAAATAACCCAAAGACTTTTTAATAAGGTAGTGCTATATAATGCTGTATGAATGCAATTTGCTTTCACAGCAGCACTGTAATGTTGAATCTGATTGTATTTCATATTGTAAAAGATTTGAGCAGAATCTTTTTGTTCAATTGTAATAATGTCTTTAACATTGTGTTTCATATCATTGAGTTTACCAAAATTTCTCACCCCCACCCTCCCCACTTCATTCTCAGCGATGCGAGCCACAAAGCAGTTTATTTTAAATTAAAAAGCGCTTATTTTGCAAACTGCTAGTCATGCCTTGATCAAGCTGGAAGATTAATTGGTTATATATTGAGCATGTATATTGGATGTACAGCTAAATGTGATCTGTCTCTCATTGAACCCAACTTATGCTTATTGTGTAGGAGGCAGTTGAGGGTGTGTATTATTAGACCTGAGAGTTATGAGAAGCTCGGGGATGCTATATAAATGCAAGTTGTTGTTGCATAGGCTTTTCATGCTTCCTTTTTTTAAAAAAAATTTAAAAATTCAACTTCTGTTTACCTTGCTACAAATGTCAATTGTTGCTGGAAATATTTGAAAGGGCTTCTAAGGACATGAGCATTTTGAGAATTTCATTATGATTGGAAATGTTCCTCAATTGGTTGGTATGAATTTTGGTGTGTGAGAGAAACCTATAAAATTTTAATCGTGGAATTTTTAAAACTGAAGACACGTCGGGTAGTATCTTGTGGCAATTTTCTTCCTACGTCTGTTGATATGGGCCTATGTGAATCATTGTTCTGCAAATAATGAATGACCACTAAAGATATCTATAACCAACAAAACAAGTTTTACTGTTCCTGACCCTTTGATCAGAATTTATTGCTGATAGAGATCTTTTTAATGGTGAGAAGTACATTTGTCTTTTGAGGAAACATTCATATCCAGTTTACACAGGGTCAACCTAATGATATGACTTGTTAATGTAGAGCCAATTTTTAAGCTGTCCATTTATAGTGCCCAACTGCTGCTGTTTGTTCTGCTAATGCCAGTCTACTGATTCTTGAACTTGTACTCCCTTCTGCTTCATTGCAAAGGCATGTATGTTTCCATTCATTGTATCCATGTGTGAATTTGACTCTTATTTGGTAACATAAGAGCATTTGTCTTG